GACCGGCTTCTATTCTGGTGCTGGGGCAGAGGGAGCAGTGCTGTGGGGGAAGCGGAGGGGAGAAACCCTCCTGGCACCGGGCTGGGGGGTTTGGGGGGGTTGGGGGGGGTGATTCCTGGTGGTCTGTGGTGTGTTGGAACCGTGCTGAGATCTCCTGGGGAACCCCGGCGGTGCAGTAGCAATGGGCCTGGCAATTAATTAAATGTGCAGGAATGGAGAGCTGGTGGCGGAAAGGGAGGTGGTGGGAAAAGGAGCAGAACAAATGTAAGTCGAGTCGGGCCGTGGGGATGCGGCTGAGGCTGCGCTAGTATTGCTATGGAAATTGCTGTTGCTGTGTCCTTGGCAGAAGAAGAGACGTGAGATGGAGATTCCTGCATCGGGAAGGGTTTGGGGTGGCCCTAAAACAGGAGCTTGGGTCTGGTCAGGAGAGGTAGAATCACACAGCCCCAGTAGGACAGGAGGGAGAGGGAAAAGCACTGATGGCCCATCTGAAAAGAAAAATGCCAGCAGAACGGGATGAAGACAAAGTGCCTCCTGTCCTCCTCCTGGAGAATAAATCTCAGAGCTGGCGGTGCTGATGCTCAGCCCTGCCCTGGGGAGCTGCTGTCCGATCCCCACCAGCACGCACTGCAGATGCCGTGGTACCAAAGCTAATGTGATGCTTTACGTTGTTGGGAGAGGATTAGAGGAGCCGCGTGTTTTGCTGGCCTGTTTCTAATTTGCATATTTAACGAAGCGGGAGCTCCGCCAGGTTCTGTTCTTTTGTGTTTACTTCTGAAGAGCTGTGTTTATTTCCGATGATTACAAATAAATCTCCTCTGCCTTTGCTCCAGCCGCCCCGAATAAAAGGCATTCAGAGCCACGTTCAGAGCCTGGTAGCTCCGTCACTGGAGCAGGTACTGGAAGAGAGGGAAAAATCCCAGCAGGAATCCCCTGCAAACATAATTAACGATAGCTTCTCGTACTGGGTGCTCACTCTGCCCCTTGGACAGGTGCTTTTGGCTGGAAACCTTCCATGCTGAACCATCATGCTGTCACTATTGAGGGGATGCAGCAGCCCAGCAGAGGCTGTGCCCCTTCAGCATCGTCACTGGCCCATCTGCATTTGGGGTATCCTGACAGCATGGGCATCCCGTGTCCTTGCATCAGGTGCCAAAACCACCCATACCCTGCTGGGAAGATGGGGCACTCAGCCCGTGGCTGTGGCCATGTCCTCATGTCAGGGTCCTCTGATCCATCGCGGCTCCAAGCTGCTTCTCCCTCACTCCTGATCTGGGTCAAATATTTTAGCTTCAGAAAACTGGGTCGGCTGACACGTTTGCGACCGATTTTGGCATCTCCATTTGTCATTTGGAAGAGATGTGTAGCCTACAGGAGTGAAAAATGGTTTGGGGTTGAAGGGCTGTAAAAGTATTTAAAAGAATGGATTTGTTTGTTTGCATAAGGAAGTGAGAGGGTTGCGGGTCGATGCGCAGATGAGCATCTCCCCTGAGGCTCCTGCTCTCCCTTAGCCCTGCTTTGCAGCTGCAAAAAGACTGTGCTGCCCCAGCATTCTGGAGATATCTATGCTTTGGGTTATTTTGCACCCAAAGGTGCAAAATCTCTGTTTGGAAGCCTTGCTTTACTCTTCTAACTCATATGTCATTTATCCCTTGGAAACACTCGTACTGCCTCTGGTGTGTTATTTCCCTCACCATGGGGCAGCCCCAGCTTGCAGATGTGCAGCTCCAGCCTTGGCCCCTCTGCCACTGCAGGGAAGGGCTGAGATGTGCACAGGGGAAGGCTGGGAAGGAAGGCAGCAGGTGTTATTTCGCATCCCATGCACAGGGAAAGTGCTGTCAGTGTCATTAATGAGGCTGGGCAGGCGCCTGCCATGGGAGCAACGCGGGGGTCCCCGCTAATAGGGGCGGGAGGAGGAAGATGGTCACACAGCACTGCCAAACACAAAGGCCATGTCGGAGGAGTTATTTGTATTGTTGACACTAAGTGAAATAATTCCTCGGAAAAACTTCAAAATTAGCATTTACGGATGAGGAATGGGTGCAATTAGAAGGGAAGAAGCAGAGCATCGGTGCCCCCAGGTCCCTCCCTCATGCATCTTCCCACTCTGCCACGCTTGGGTTCATTGCCCTGGACTCTCATGGGGTGTTGGCATTGGTACAGCTGCTCCCATCCCTGTGCAGAGCAAAGGGATGAATGTGGGGCTGGGGAGATGTTACCTTCTTGGGGCTGTGTTTGTCGGTGGTGTGCAGGGTGGGATGGAGCTCAGGCAATGCACAACATCCAGGTCTTGCCCTCACACACCAGCAAGATGGGCTGGTGGAGAGCAGGCATGGTGAGGTGCTACAGGTGTTGAGAGATCTCTGCTCTCTCACCACTGAGTTGATGGTCTGAGCGGGGTGGACATGGAGAGGATGGAATAGATTGTGTTGTGTGAAGAAGTCCTGCAGAAGGGAGCCAGGATGAGGCTGCGGGTTTGGGCTGATGCCTGCATCTCCATTCAAAGCTGTTCCCCTGCCTCGCTGTCTCCAGGTGAGCCATGGAGACAGAAAGGGGTTATTTCCCTCCTGCCTGACACATGCTTTATTTTCTTTTGTCCCTTCTGGACTCGTAACAGAGCGATTCTTCTGGAGATGGATATGGTGCCTCCAGGAGACTGTTAATGTGGGTTTGTCTTTGTTCTTAATTAGATCCCTTCAAGGGAAAACCTCCTGGCCCGTTTTATTATCCAGCTTTGTCAGAGCTTGTCTGCTTTATCTAAACACTTTGAAGAAGTCTCTTTACCTGTTTGCTTACTGGAGACATTATCATAATCCTGGTCAATTGGAAATAGGTAGCAAAGGCGGCTCAGAGATGAGGGAGTGCTGGCAGCTCAGCTGCTAATGGATATCGCTTTCTGAGCCTGATGAAGAAGCTGGCAGGGCACTCTGTGTGTTGGTGTTTGCTGTCACCCAAAGCAGGGAGGCTCCGTGGGTCGGCTCTCTGCATTACCGAAGCACAGCAGCTTCCCAATCCTGTTCACTTTGAGTCTTTTTGATGGAGATCCTTTCCGTCAAATGCTGTGGGTAAGGAAGGGTGATGCTGTCCTCGTTCCGGCCCACAGGAGCACATCTGTCCGTGTTATGGGACGGGTGGAGGTTTGGCTTCCAGCCCCAAATGCGGGCAGGGGATGCAAAACGAGCAGCCTGGGCTGCTAGGGGTCGTGTGCCCACCCCAAACAGCCCCAGTTCGTGTGAGCTGGAGCCAGTGAGTGGTGTTTGAACATTCCCAGAGACGGCACAGGCGCATCTTCCTGTCACTTCAAACCCTGCTCCTTGTACTTCACCCCTAATGAGGGGACCCGGGAGTACCTCGGAGGGCTTTAGTCTGGATATTTATATGAGCGCAGACATGCAAGTTGTCTGTTTTACATATTACTGCCCTGATTTTTCAGTGCACGCAATGAATAATTTACAGAAACCGTGTGTAAGTATCTCTTTATTATTCATTATAATGAAGTGAGACAGCAGTAATAGTCCACTAGACTGGAATCCCCCAGGGCTGAACTTAACTAGGCTGTGCTTAGCTCTCCCCCAGTTAATTTGAATGGAGGACTTGCTTTCCCATAAAGGGTGATGCCTACGCTTGGCACGAGGCCACCTCACCTCCCTGGTGATGGGACAACCCCGACACCTGCCCTGCAGTGTGCATTTCTATGGCAGTGGTGGCATGAGGATGCTCGGGTTCCAGGAGTGCCCCCAGAGCCATCTGGCTTTCCAGGCATCCGCGTGCAGCGCGGCTTGTGCAGATGTACAGCTCCTACATGGGGAAAGGGACTTGTTTGCAGGAGGATGTATTGCTCACTCCTCCAAACCAAAGACCTGTGGGGACCCCAAAACACACCACGTGTTGCCCCATCTCTCTGCTCAATTAATAATCTGCATCGAGACGATGCTCAGCAAGCTCGGCATGGGAGGCATATAGCACCCAACCCTCTGCGTGGTGGGGATAGGGCAGCCCTCCTGCCCACCTCTGAATTTACTGTCGTGTGGGAAGGGAAGTGTGAGAGCTGCCTGATTGACTTCAGTGCCTTGCCCTAAGTTGCTGCCAGCGTGAGCTTGTGCCTGGGGTTGTTTTTTTGGTTTGCTTTCACGCTGAGAGAGCTCTCTGACCGCAGTCCTCAGGTGGGAAAGGCAAAGCTCCCGAGGAACGCTCAGCTCTTAATTTACCCAAATGCACCGTGGTTTGGCTGCGGGCACCGCGGAGGCAGCGAAGGCCAGGAGTAAATAGATCAAGAAAATCTATCAAATGGAATGAAAAAGCCACGTTCTCAGGGAACGTTCTAATTCCTCTTTTTATTCCCTTTCCCCGGCTCTTCCTTGCCAAGCGTAAGTCAGCGCCGCGGACCGGAGCTCCCCAGCCTTGGTGCTTCTCGTGGAGGGAGGGAGCCAAGCAGGAAATAAATAATTGCAACGACTGTGTTGTGTTTTCAAGGCACTTGTAGGATTTACAGCTGCTTATCCAAATGTTCCCTTCTCTTCCCGCGTGCTGGCTCGCCGTCTCTGGCTCTTTCTCTTCTTCCTCTCTCGGTGTGTGCCGGCCGCTCTCCCTCGCCGTGGCGGTGTATATCACACTGGGATGGCTCGAGGGCTGTGCTGACAAGCCAAACTGTCAGCAAATTTTACAGCTTCATCTCCAATCCTGGGTGAGCGGGGGATGCGGGAAGCCTTTGCGGCGCGTGGAGGTCAAACCTAATGGGATTTTCATCTGCGCCTCCCCAGAGCCATGGGGGAAAAAAAGAAAGGAAAATAGGCAGTGCCATCTTCTGAGGAATCTTACCGTGATGGGGAATGCAGGTGGTGGTGGGAGGGTTGCACTGCCTCGGTGTGCAGCGTGCGTGGGGCGTGCAGTCCCCATAGCAGCTGTAGGGTGTGGGGGGATGGTGATGATGCTCCCATCCACTTTTGGGAGCTGGGGTGTGCTCTATGTGTGTTGGTGACCTTTGTGCTCTTGTTTTGCAGGTGTACCGTGGATGACAGGGTGACGCGGGTAGCGTGGTTGAACCGCAGCACCATCCTGTATGCTGGCAATGACAAGTGGTCTATAGACAACCGCGTGGTCATCCTCTCCAACACCAAAACCCAGTACAGCATCAAGATCCACAACGTGGATGTGTACGATGAGGGGCCCTACACCTGCTCTGTGCAGACAGACAATCACCCCAAAACATCGCGCGTGCACCTCATCGTGCAAGGTGAGTCCTAACATTCATGGTGCTGGTTTTGAACTGAATATTGAAGAAGAGTGCCATAGGGTTTGGAGGCCCTCTTGGTGATGGTGATTTTGGGTGGTCAGTGGCATGGGACAAGGATCTGTACAAGTGTTTGCTATCTCTGGGAGCAGATGAACTCAGGTTGTCCATGCCTTGCTGTGTTGTGTGGTTGTGGCACGGGGAGGAGAACACCTGGAAACTGAAACTGGGGCTGGCATCCCCCTTTTCCTACCATGTGGCTCGGTTTGCTGCACTGGGGAGTCGTTTGTAAGGTGCTTCAGGAAGGGTAAAGGCAAAGAACTGTCAGATGTGGTGGAGAAATGGTCTCAGGGAGTACAGGGAATCAAAGAGCACAGAGAAATGGACTCAGAGAGCACAGGACTGTAGGAAAGATGGCAGATGGTGTGCGTGGGGGGCTTCAATGATCTTTTGGCATGGGGATTCCTAGGAGAGCCTGTTGGCATAGCAGCTGATGTTGGTTTCAAAATTGGTATCCTCAGGTCTCTTCATCTGGGGGATTCTTGGTGCTGGAAGATCAGGTGCCTGTAGCAGCATGGGCTGCAGTGAGGTGTTTGGGGGGCTTTCTTGCACCAACCATGTCTTTCCCTTGGTCAGATGTTGGCCTCTCAGCTTGCCTAGCTTCCCCTAGCATGCACGCTGCTTCCCCAACCTTCCCACCTGCAAACACTCCCAATGGAAGCAGACCAAGGACCACTTGGAGGCATGATGTGTGGGAACCAAGCTCAAGCCCACCAGTGAGATGACCCTATAGAGTGCTGAGGTTGAGCCAGTTATGAAGCACACTGGCATATTTCCAGGGGGATCTTGGTTTGCTGGAGGTCACCACTGGGCTCCCCAGCTCCGGTGGATGGTGCCTCCAATCCTGGCTCTTTTGCAGCAGCTATCAGCTTTTGTCCAGCCTGTAGATTAATTTTTCAGAGTTAGTGTTAGTTCAGGTTAGATAAAGATAATGAAAGTTTCCTAATCCTCTTAAAGAAGATTTATCTGGCTGAGTAGAAAGCTCTCAGAATACAATAAAGCGTGTATAAAACCAGGACCTAATCTTTCCTTTAATTTCAAACAGCTGATGGGTATTGATTTTACAATGAGCAAATCTGTAAAATTTCTCAGCCTCAACATGTCTCTGAGAAGCCCCCAACACGGATATGTATATATTTATGTATCCTTCTCATTTGGAAGAGGCAGGGTTCGATACGGCCACCGATCAAAGCAGGGAAAACCTCACCCAGCCTGTCAGCTCCCCTGCGAGGTGTGAGAGATGGGCGACTTGCTGCTTCCATGGGCTGCTATGTGCCTGTTTGCTGCCAGATCTCCATAGGAGTTTGTAGTTGGGCTCTGCTTTGAGCATGCTGGGGTGGTGGTGGTGCAGAGAGGGGGAGGGCGTAGCTTGGAAAGGAGGGAGCAGAAAGATATCAGAGCATTCCCTGCTCCCCCCTGAGAGATTTGCGTACCAGCCGTCCATCTGCAAAGTTTAATCTGTTTACCCTGCCTGCTCACTAATAGTGCTAATCCATCCAGTCAACACCTGTGAAGCATCCGAGCTCTTTCTGCCTGATGGAATGACACCCACCTCACCCCTCGCCCTGCAGAAGCTTGGGATGGATGGCTGTGGTCACACACAGCAGAGCCTGCTCTTGGATCCTACCACCCCAAAGGTTCTTTCCCTGAGGTTCTGGTGGCACCAGGACTGGTCAGGTTGTGCAGCACGCAGGGCTGCAGCTGGTTCTGCCCATGGAGCACAGGCTTTTCCGTGTGCTGTATGAGCAAACAGCCTGAAATGAGCACGTTAGCATGAGAGCAAGAGAGATTACATCTCCTCCTCTTCTTTTCCCCTCTTCATGCTCCGGCTCGTAATAAATCTCCAGCACCTAACACCCAATATCTTGCCTCGTAAAATCCCCGTGCGATTATCTTATCTCATTAAAGCAAGGCCAAAAATCCTTTTATTCCACAAAGATGTTGGTGCCAAGTGCTGGTGCTTGAGTGTGCTGCAGCGGAGGAGAGCGTGGGGAGAGTAGCCTGCAATGCACCTCCAAGGAGGGGCAAAGCAAGGGATGGTCGCATCCAGAGCACTTGTCTGGTCACCAGGGATGGGACCACCACCTTATATCTGTCAGAGCTGTCCCGGTGTCAAATATGGGTTCAGGACTCCCTCTGCAGAGCAGGCACTGTCCTGGTGGCACTCCCCACACAAGCAGGCAGTGAGGACCAGTTAGCATCCGTGTTCAGGTCAATTAATTTATATTTGTATTTTGCACAACTAAAAGTTGCCCAGATAGATTATTGATTCTTTGTCCCTGTATTCAATTTGGTTTTAATTGCCCTACTGCAGGGCCAGACCTTCCCTCCTAGCAACCCGGCGATAAATCTGCCAGCGAGTCACAATCAACAGTAAATGTGTCTCTTCGTGTCGTTATTAATATGTCTCTGGGATTGGTTCATTACAGCAGTTAACAGCACTTTGTAAGAGCGGGGATGGCGGGAGGCCAGGCAGCTTTTTTTCTCTCCCTGTGACGACAGGATGGATGCTGATAGGCACGTGTGTGGTGTTTTGGTGCTTGGGGGGGGGGCTGCAAACACATGGAGAGCTGGGATTTCATGTGGTGTAAGAGAGAATGAGCTGCCTAATCCCTCTCTTATCATAGAGCTTGAAATGAGGATGCTGTTGGGCCATTGCTGGAGCAAGGAGACCCAAATATGTAGGGGTGAATGGGAGGGGAGTCTGCATAGCAGAGCAGTTCTGATGGCACTAATGACACCAAAGGAGCTGTAATTTCTCTGTCAGAGCAATTAGTAGGAAGCGGAGAATTTTGCCTGCATTGAACTGTTGACGAATGTAGCCAGTAGATGTGAAGGCAGGCTGCTCCAGAGCGATGTGTGCTGGGGAGCCCTCCTGTCCCCAGGTGCAGCCCTGTCCCCAGAGGTGCAGTGTGCCAGGATGGGCCAGAAGACCCTGCAGAATGGTTTTGGTGGCAGGAGCAACAGGCAGGGCATAGCTGTGCTTCCTTGACATGGGCTGCTGCAGCAACCAGAGGGTGTTTCTGCTTTCGAGTGCAGAGCTTGGTATCTGTGGTTGAGACTGTAGATCTTAAAGAGTAAGGCAGGTTTCCTTCTGGGGATGGGAGTGAGGGGAAGGCAGCAGCAGAAAGGCTGATGGAGCACAGGGACTGGAAGAGGTGGGAGGAGGTGATGAGAAATCAGGTGGCAGGAGTGAGATGGAGCCCTTCCCAAGCACAGTGAACAGTTAAACAAGAGGTTGCAGTGATGCTGCAGAAGTGAGGCATGGTTGGGTGGCGTCACTGATGCAGCAGAGCATCCTGCAGGCACGATGGGGGACTTTCTTCCACGGTTTTGCATCAGGTCTGGAGAAATGCAGAGTGGGGTTTGGGCTGAGACCTCAGGAATATTTTCTAACAGGGAGGAAGTCCCCATTTGTGGGTATTTCTGAACACTTCCTGGCTGATGCTGCTCTGTGTTTGTGCCAAAGCAGCTTTGCATAGCGTGGCATTGCTTCAGATCGGAGCGCTGCAGCTGGTGGAGATCTCAGCAGCGATCCCCAGTGCTGCCCATCCCTACCCAACAGTGGTCTTTTGTACTCTTCAGATGTCCTCTGTTTCTGATTTATTTGGAGAACCCTCCTCTGTTCTGCCTTAATCCCGCTCACCATAGATTTTTCATTAAAGCCTCTCCCAGCTGTCTGCATCGTTACTGTTAGTTTCTGGTCGGTGCAATCCATTTTCCTGTCTGGGCGTTTTGCTGCTTTCCTCTCCCCACGGGCAGGATGGCTTCTGAAGGACCACAGCCTTTGTTCTTGGCAGCAGAGTGCCGGGTGTGCATCTCTTTTCAGCAGTACCCCCCGAATCCACGTAAAGGCAGTGCCCCGAACCAGGTCCCGTGTCAATAGTTGCATCCTCTGCCTTTCAACGTGGCACCGACAGCAGCTGTAGCTCTTCAGCAAGTGTCTCTCAAGCAAATGGAGTCTTTATTTTTTCCTTCTTCCCAATAACAACCGACTTCTTCTCGACTCTCTGAAGGGGCAGCCCCCCCACACCAGCCTCATTGAGCTGTTCTCCCCTAAGACAGGCTGTGCTGCGGGCCCCCCCTCCACCTCCGATTGCACAAGTGATGCTTTTAGACTTGCTTTTATCGTGCTACCTTTGATATCCAGGCAGGAGCTGAGACTGTGATACTTATTAAAACCTTACCGGGAGGCTGTGTGGCAAATAGCAAAGCAAGAGGAGCAGCTCAGTCGTAGTAGAGCTGATAAAATGCTGTACGTGCAGAAAGTGCTTCACACGAGTGTCAGTGGTTTTGCTTATTATTAGGGCACAGGAGAGTTTGACATGAGGGTTGTGCACGTGGTGTACAGCAGCTGCAGCTCAGCCTGGAGAATGAGCAAGGCAGGATGTGGCCTCTGCAGCAGGCTCACTGCTGTCCTTGGGTGCTTTATCTGCATTTGGGATGCTTAGAATCAGAATCAAGAAGGTTGGAACCCGTGCTGTGCCCAATGACCGCATCCCTCAGTGTCACATCCCTATGGTTCTTGAACACCTCCAGGGGTTGGTGACTGCACCACTTCCCTGGGCAGCTGTGCCAGTGCCTGACCACTTGCTTGCCCCTTAACGGGTTATTATTTTTGTCTGCTTAAGAGAAAAGGCAATAATGAGGAAGAGAGAGACTGAACGGCGGAGCCTGGTGAAGTGCTTGCAGCTGGGGCATGCCTGAGAAGGAACCTGGGGGTCCCTCTGCCCATGGAAGTGGTCCACGGGAACCTTATCCATCCCTCTAGTGGAGGATAAATGGAGGCTCATCCAGGTTAGCAATGTCCAGGTGCTGTTTGTCCAGTGCAGAAGTGGTTCCTGGTGCACTGTGTGGTGTGCTGGGATCAAGAGCTTGCAAGGAATGGATCACACACTGTGCTTGGGGCACATCTCTGTCTTGCTGGATGATGCGTGGTGTGC